ATCTCAGCTCCTACCACTCTAATGTTTGTAAATTAAAGCTCACGAAAAATCATTCAACTTTTGCTAAGGAAGTATTTCCTTGCGAAGACAATTTCGCTTTTTTTGGCCGAACGTAGGGGTCGCCTTTAGCAATTTTTCTCCATATCTGCGGCATTTACATTACAGTAAACTAAAACTCACCAAAAAGCATTAAACTTTAGTTAAAGAGTAATTAGATTATTCCAGTGGTACTATTTTTAACCAGTTTTATCGCCAAATGTCACCGAATAATGGCAAAATGTTCGGCCAAGAAAATTAAATTTTGTTGTTTCGAAATCGCTCGCAAAAATACTTTAGACTCAGGGAAGTACGGTGAACTATTTTTTTTTTTGCTTGTAAGCTGGTACGGTCTAATGTACATCCAACAATAGTGGTGGCCAGAAAGTAGCAGACAAAAATATAAATTCAAATTTTTTTAAATTATGCAGTAAAAATAATGAAAAAAGAAGAAACACACACGTTTGTTTTGCAAGAAAAAAACAATACCTAAAAGTTTCTCGCTATACTTGTATGTAAATATACATATGTATGCGTCAAAAACAACAGCGAACCACATGTCGTTTAAGTAATATGGGCACCTGTATATGTATGTGTGTATGCATGTGCTATGAAAACATATGTAAATATATACATGCATTGTACTTATTATAGGCAATTGTAAATTTCTTCGCATATGTGCATTAGGGTGGTCCTTAAAAAATCAAATGAACGATTTTTTCAGGTTCACCCCTCAATCGGTAATACCACGGTCACAGATATCACATATAATTTTTGGTCCCGATAGCAGTGGGTTGAGACGTCTTCATAGGGAAATCTGAGCTTTGACCACTGTGCGACACGCCTTAACCGACTTCAATCGGGACCAAAATTTATTTTGCTTCCCACATTTAAGGACCACCCTGATGCACATATGTGGCGTGTATGTATGTAGATATGCATGTGTTTTTGTGTTAAATCTGCGGCAGCAAATTGTTCATACATTACGTTGCAAATTAATTGAAATAATTTACTTGAGCTTGAGCAAATGAATATGCAAGACTCGTTTCATTCGCTTTCCTCACCAGCTCTTCGTATCTACATTTAATAGCGGATACTACGAATTTTAAAGAGGGATTTATGGGATTAAAATACAATCGCTTGTGACACCATGCCAGTGACCATTGAAAATATGTATATAGTAGTATGCCACTTTCACAATGCATTGGCAACCAATTAATTAAAGAATTACAACAATGCACTCGTATGAATGTGTGCACTATGCGCTACGCGCGAACTCGCCTAATTGCATGCGAATTTATCAAACAAATAAATACTTAAAATTTTTTACATTTAAAATATTTACATATATGTATGTGCATAACATATTTATATGTAGATATGTAGATAAGTTTATAAGTGTTACTTGTAACATTTAAAACGCCAAACAGGTCCATTCTGAGCTGGTAACATTACCTTTGTAATCGGTAAATAAAGTGTCTGTTAATTTTTAAACCCTTTTCGCATTCAGTGCACTCCTGTAACCCGTAAATTTTGTTTCCATCTCATAAGCTGGTAAACAAAACATTGCCCCGTGAAATATGCAATACAAGAATTTCCGCAGATCTTTATAGCTGAATTGCTGAATATTTTGAGTGCAACGTACATACATACCTAGAATCGCAGTGGCAAGAAGTGATAACATTTTTATACCCGAGCGCACTTGTGCACAAGGGTATTATAACTTTGTTCACATAACGGTTGTTTGAAACAGCCAAAACGAATCGAGATAGATATAGACAAATGTATACATAAATGATCAGAATGAAAAGAGAAATCGATTACGCGGTGACTGTCCGCCCATTCGTCCGTCTGTGTACACGATATCTCAAGTAAAAGTTTAGATATCTTAAAGAAACTTGGAAAGTGTACTTCTTTTGAGCGTAGGACGAATGGTATCGAAAATGACTAAACTCCGACAATAACCGCGCCTACCTACCATATAACGGTAGTTTTCAGAAATACGAAAAGTGCGATATTTTTGTAACTACTGAAGCCTATTCTCTCAAAATTTTTAGATGAAAAATCAGAATAGTATAAACTTTTGAAAAATGGGCGTAGCGACGCCCACTTATGATTACATGTGTATATGTACCACCGATTTCTCCCAGTTCTTGGCCTTGGTAAAACATATCAAACGACTAAAAATTTTTCAAATCTGGCAATAACCACGCCCACATCCCATATAACGATAATTTAGAAAATAACAAATCAGTAAGTCATAACTTCTGAAGTTAATTTACTCAAAATTGATACTCACAATAATACCTTGACAAGAAGAAATATTATTATGAAATTTCTGGAAATGGGCATGGTACCGCCCATTAATAACTATTAAACTTTATCTCATTAAGCCTTAACTCCTGCTTGCCATGTAACGGTAGTTTTCAGAAAGATGAAAAAAACTATATTTAATACGTGCGCCGGGTATTTAATGTTCGGCCTCGCCGGAACTTACGACTTTTTTACTTGTTTGATAATAAAATTTTCCGGTTACAAAACAATCGCTAAAGAGCGAAATACACAACACAAGCGGCTTGACAAACCAAGCGAAATATCCCTTTGTTTCAATCCATTTGTGTTGTCTATGGGGGTGTTTGAAGGTTTGACAAACCGCTTGAGGGAAATTTGAGCAAAAATCAAAATTTTTTGATTTTCTGGCCGCCATGTTGACGTTTGATCAAACCGCTTGCGATGTGGATGGTAAAATCGCCTCATTTGTTGCTGAATTTTCACCAAGTGAGGACGTAAGGGAGAAAAATGGAAGAAAACCAACATTTTTAACATTGTGAACCGGAGGAAAACTAAAATTCTGTGCTTGAATGACTCATGTTTGCATGGTGTATGGCGAAATGGGAAAAGTAGGTTTGACAAGCCGCTTGTGTGGTGTATTTCGCTCTTAACGCGCAGAATAGACCTGTAAGAGGGGACAAAATAATTTCTATCGAGGACTTTGTATGAAGGCGCCTTTGAATCAGGAGGACGCAACATTCATTTCATTTATCGAAGAAAATTTAGGGAAAAGGCCTTACATGCTTTTTAATTTATTTATTTATTTAAAACAAATCAACAACAAGCGGTTTTATGAATGGGCCAACACCTTTTGAAAGAAGTAAAAAAACAAGCGGAGGTACATAAATGTTATATATGTATATCTGTGATATACAGTGACTCAAACAAATGACCACGTGTTGATTAATTAAAAAAAACACAAAAGCAGTCTCCAACAAAAAAATTCTCAAAAATCAACGGAATGTTTTAGCCGTTTGCAAATTGCATTTCATTAGACTAAAATTACATAGGCGATAAAACTGCATACCCAAAAATGTTCTAAAGATTTAGATTAAAAAGTTGAAATTTTAATGAAAATTTTTTATATTTTCCTAAATTTTGTAGAAAGTGTGAAACTGTGATTTATACATATGTTTTGGTTAAAGCTTAAACGGTAAATTAGCTCGTAAAACATTACGAATATGTAAAAAAAAATCCACACGTGGTAATTTGTTTGAGTCACTGTATGTTTATAAGTAGGTTGCGAAATCAGTTTTTGTGAAGGTCTGCACCGTTCCTTCGAATTTAAAAAATGAAATCGTATATTAAAGAGCTTGGTCTGTTATCGGTACAACGGATTTGAAATTAGAGAAACCGAGCCATGCGAGACTTCGCTTCACTCAGAAACAGCTGGATGGATTTGGAAAAAATTTGGCTCACGGACTAACATTTGGAATATTTTTTCACTTCAGACGCGAGTGGAATTCACACACATAACTTTTTTTTTTAACCATCTTGGTATTACAGCGAACAAACATAAAATAATAATTATCCAAAAAAGTCAAACCGTTTATAGTTTTAGCGAGACAGCGGACATATGAGCCGTATATATTTAGTATATACGTATATTTATGTACATACTTACGTACCTATGTATATTTATTAATGCATATTAAAACAGTATTTATTTTTCAAATGGCGTGTATGGACATACATACGTATGTATGTACATTAGGGTGGTCCAAAAAAAAGTAAAGTCGGAAATCTAATCCTCTCACCCCCTAGGATTGTTCTATACCGAAAAAAAGTATACCCCTGTTTTTTTATTTAAAAATCAAAATATATTTAGAGGTCGCTCAAAGTTTCCCATGTATTTTGTATGGGGAAAAAAAGACTTTTCGTAGAAATGGCATAGAATCCATGGAAATCAAAATTTTTCAATCTGAAAGCTCTGCTTCTCTTCAAAGGACTTCAGAGAATAATGCCCAATTGTTTATTTAAACATTTTTTAATTTTAACTATTTTTTAAGGGTCTCCGAAATATCCAAAAAAAAATCAAATATACAAACAGAAATATACAAAAGAAAAAAGAAAAAATAGTTTAAATTAAAAAACGGTTAAATAAACAATTGGGCATTATTCTCTGAAGTCCTTTGAAGAGAAGCAGAGTTTTCAGATTGAAAAATTTTGATTTTCATGGATTCTATGCCATTTCTACGAAAAGTATTTTTTTCCCCATACAAAATACATGGGAAACTTTGAGCGCTTTGATCGACCTCTAAATATATTTTGATTTTAAAATAAAAAAACAGGGGTATACTTTTTTTCGGTATAGAACAATCCTAGGGGATGAGAGCATTAAATTTCCGATTTTACTTTTCTCCCATACATTTTTGGACCACCCTAATGTACATACATGCATCCTCAGCTGGCATAACTTTACAAGAACGCGAATTACGGGCGTAGGATGAACAGAGATTTGCTATTCAAGCACCAAAGAAATGCTGTAATGGTTCATACATTTAATTAATTGTCTGCATTGTTTGATGCCAAATTTTACATGAAAGAATAATGAATTTATTTCAACATGTACTTTTACTATATTGAAATATGACAAATAAAATTATATTCTATTCTTGTATGTATTCTTGCAGGCAACTGTTGCATTACCACTGCTAGCGACGGCCAAAAGTAGCCGCACCGCAGACAGTCTCTAGCAAATCGCTCGCAAATCTACAGCGCAAAACCAAAGCCAATCGAGAAAGCAAGCAAACAGCATGTCTTCGGTTACACAGCATACGGGCAATCAGCCGGTGGCGCAGCAAAATGGTAAACAACAGCCAACGGCTGGTGGCGCTGTCACCGCCACCAACAATAACACACATGAAAAAGTGGGCGGCAACAATGGAGCAGCGGGCAATGGTGCCGGCGGTGCAAACTCGAATACGGAATCCTCCCAACAAAGCCCCACCAAAAAGACAAGTCTATCGACTAAGGAGCGGGTCATTGACAGCGTCCCCTTTCCGCCGAGCCGCAAGCTAACAGCGGCCGATGTATTTGACGCACGCACCGGCAAGCCACACCATGACGTACTTAAGCAGCACTTCATACTTGAGGGACGCATCGAAGAGGCTGCCGCTTTGCGCATCATACAAGAGGGCGCTACATTGTTGCGCCAAGAGAAGACCATGATTGACATTGAGGCGCCAGTGACCGTGTGTGGTGATATTCATGGCCAATTTTACGATTTAATGAAATTGTTCGAAATTGGCGGTTCACCCGCCTCGACCAAGTATCTCTTTTTGGGCGATTATGTGGATCGAGGCTACTTTAGTATTGAGTGTGTTTTGTACTTGTGGTCACTGAAAATAACCTACCCGAATACATTATTTTTGCTACGTGGCAATCACGAATGCCGTCACTTAACAGAGTATTTCACCTTCAAGCAAGAATGCAAGATCAAGTACTCGGAACGTGTGTATGATGCATGCATGGAGGCTTTCGATTGCTTACCGCTAGCAGCACTAATGAACCAACAATTTCTGTGTGTCCACGGTGGCTTGTCCCCGGAAATTCACGAGCTAGAAGACATACGCCGTTTGGATAGATTTAAAGAGCCACCAGCATTCGGTCCAATGTGCGATCTTTTGTGGTCAGATCCCTTAGAAGATTTCGGCAATGAGAAAAATTCCGACTTCTATTCGCATAACTCAGTGCGTGGCTGCTCATATTTCTACAGCTATGCAGCCTGCTGTGACTTCTTGCAAAATAACAATCTATTATCGATTATACGTGCACACGAGGCGCAGGACGCCGGCTATCGTATGTATCGCAAAAGTCAAACCACTGGGTTCCCCTCATTAATTACCATCTTCTCGGCACCGAATTACTTGGATGTGTACAACAACAAAGCGGCAGTACTGAAATATGAAAACAATGTGATGAATATAAGGCAGTTCAACTGCTCACCGCATCCCTACTGGCTTCCGAATTTCATGGACGTATTCACTTGGTCTTTGCCCTTCGTCGGCGAAAAAGTGACCGAGATGTTGGTGAATGTGTTGAATATTTGCTCGGACGATGAACTTATGACCGAAGAGAGTGAAGAGCCATTATCCGATGATGAGGCGGCGTTACGCAAAGAAGTCATTCGAAATAAAATTCGTGCGATTGGAAAAATGGCGCGCGTCTTCTCAGTGCTACGTGAAGAGTCTGAGTCGGTATTGCAGTTGAAGGGATTAACACCAACCGGTGCACTGCCACTGGGTGCACTCTCTGGTGGCAAACAGTCATTGAAGAATGCGATGCAAGGCTTTTCGCCCAATCACAAGATCACTTCATTCGCCGAAGCCAAAGGTCTGGACGCGGTGAACGAGCGTATGCCGCCGCGACGTGACTCGACGCCATCGCCAGCCGAGGAGGGACAAAAATCGTTGTCAGCAGCCGCTGCTGCAGCGGCGAATGCCAATGCCAACGCCAATGCGAATTCAATCAATGGATAATTCTAAGTCCACAGAGTTTTAGTAGATATGTAGGCCAAGTGCCGGCACTCAACGTTACGTTTCATAACAACATTGTATTTGTACTACGGGTAAAAAAGGAAGAAAGCGTATTAAGCCAGCTAGAAAAAAAAATTAAACAATACAAATAGGAAAAAAGAAACAAACGAAGAAAAGGCAGAGTAGGAAAAGGAACGTAACTTTTAGGTTTAGGAAAAGCAAGCAAAAGTTAAGAAAAGAAATATCAAAATGCAAGTTGAATGAATCGTGGAGTTGTGTCAAAAGTATAACAGAAACATATAGAAAAAAAATGAAAATAAAAACAACAACCCGAAAAGAATAAAAAAGCAAAGCATAGAAAATTAAATTACAAATATATCTCGTCGTTGTTATTTCATCTCGTCCCACTTTCGATGCACGGTTGTACGCGAATTAAATTAGTGTGATTGTAACGGTATTTTTTAAATTGCGGCATGTGCGAAGCTCTATTGGCGATCAATACAAGTATGGGACAGTAAGGAGATTCGTGTTTGATATACGAGAATACGAGTATGTATGTTTGTCATCACACGTAAAAACATAAGTATGGACGCATACTGTAAATGCAACTGCTGCATGAACGTTAGGGTGCCTCACCAAAAAAAGTTGCGGAATTATAAAATTTATTAAATATATTTTAAAACTTCTGCCACCGATTTTAAAATAAATCCAAGAATCTCATTATTTTGATTCTTAAGCTTAAACTATTCTATCATCTGAGGTGATTTTTTGGAAGAATATTTTTTAATGGTAGTTTTATTAAAAAAAAAAAAACATGAATTTTGGAAGTATTTTCAAATCGGCCCAGCTCACGGGAATTTTAATATTTTTGTGGAAGTCTTAAAATATAATGGTTTTTATAATTCCGATGGAAAAACAGCATCGACTTTTTTGTGTGTGTTGCATCCTAATGTACGTATGTATGTATGTATGTAAGTAGCATATACATTAGGTGGATCTAAAATACATAGGAAAAAAAATTGTATGGAATTTTCCTATTGCCACCTCAGAATTACATGAAATGAAAAAAAAGAAACCCGTATTTTTTTTTTTTTTTTTTTTTGAAAACGGTTAATATTTTATGGTGCCGCTGGAGCTTTGAAGTTTTCCATGTTTTTTACAGGGGGGAAATGATTTTTATTTGTGCAATTACTGTAAAATCGGCGAAAATCAATATTTCGAACGAGAAAAAATATTTCCTGTCAGAAATTTACAAAAAAAATTGTATATGATGCATATTTTACTTTAAAATTTCACTAACTATTTTTTTTTATAAGTTTGTAACCGCACGAAAAGCTCAACGGATTTGTGCAATTTTCTTTAATTATGCAAATGTATTTCCTTCATATTGCATAATGCAAAACATGAACGGCATGAAGAGAATTACAGAATGTGCGATAAAATATGTAAAAGTTTCGACGTCGCGAAACGGAAAATGAAATGATCGATAACTTTCGATAACAACCTTCTAGAGTTACCATGAGTGCAAACGCGTTACAACAGCGCACAAAAAGTGCAGCTGTAAAACAGAAAGCTATGAGTTCTGCCTTAACAAGTATTGTGAAGTCTTTGTTGTACCGTAATTTGAGCGTTTATTTAACAGTCCAGTGAAACGAACCTTAAGGATTTAGTAAATCCGTCGAAAATACAAGGATAATCTTAACAATATGCAATATGTGGGAAACTTCAAACCGCTGGCAGCTCCATTAAATTCTAACCGATTTCAAAATAATCAAATACGGAAACTATTATTTTCGATAATCTTCAGTTCTGGGGGTGATTGGTAAAAAAGAAAATTGGACCACCTTATTGTCTACATACGTATAATAGTTTGCGTAACTAGGCGTGGAGTAACGAGGATCGCATGGGCGTGACGCCGTGCACACAATCGCTCATCTGGTGATCGTTTTGTGGTCTTATACGTGCCATCTTCATTATAGTCATATGTAATTGCTGCCTTTATTTCCGTTCGCTCGGTCATTTTGTGTTTTTCTAACTCAGCTGCATTTTTCAAAAATGCTGAGCTGTTTAATAAAGCGATAGATGCGATTTACACTGTAAAAAAAAAATAAATATTATTTTATATGTCGTTGCCATATAGTTAAAATGCGTGTACGCCTTAAAACTTTCAGGGTTGCATACATGTACTTAAATATTTTTCAGTTTTCTTTACGCAAGAGGGGTGTAAATATGTTTACTTTTGATATAAGCAACTTTTCTATTCACTCCTGCTTCCTCTCTAGTTTTCTCTTTAAACTTTCTCTCTCTACATCTGCATCTGCATCTTTCTCTCTCTCGCTCTCGCTCTTTCTTCGCAATTATTTGGACCGAACCGAAGAGGAATCTTGAAATAATCATAAAGCTTAGCGATTTTTATTTTGATATTTTTATAAGGGTTACATATAAACTATTGATCTACAAATAATATTTACAAATTTTCATATTTAAAATAAAATTATTGTTAACCAGATGTGAGAAGATCACATTAAAAAGTGTTTTAGTTAATTGTTAATCAATGAATAGACTATCAGTTTTATGTTTATTTTCTTTCTATGTAAGCGATATGTAACTATATCTAAAAAGAATTTATTAAAATTTTCTTAAATAATAATAAAACTTACTTAAAACTGAAATGTGAATTTACAATTAAGATTAAAGCTAATTAAATAAATATAAAACAAAAATATATATATAAAAAATAATAAAGAATTAAGTTAAATACAATATTTGCAAAACAAAAGCAAAAACAAAAAAAAAAAAATATGTTGAAACTATCAACGCAATCAACAAAGCAAATGCTAAGTTAATAAAACAACAACAACAAAATAAAAAAAAATACATGCATACATACTTTTTCATTAATTCATAATTATTAAATATAATATAAACTTATAGCAATTTGAAGTACTTTACATTATAGAAATACGTACATACATAAATATACCTAAAATATCGCCCAAAGAACAGCAAAGATACAACAGTTTAAACCATTGCACGAATAAAAAAAAAATTACATAAAAAAAATTAGAAACTTAGTGCTGCAAAACTTTTATCATTTTTTTTTTAATTTTCAGTGCTGTACGTCCGCTTTTCAAAATTCAATAATAGCTGTGGTTTTTTTGTTTGCATCAAACCTATAACCTTTTCACCGTTCATATAAGCATGTACAGTACCGGTCACTAGTATAGTGATTTTGATAATCAGTATGGACGGCTCTCCTTTTGGTTATATATTGTTTATTATTTTTTTTATAATAATATTGCATATTCCATAACAAAAACCATGTAATTCGATTTTCAAACTTTATACAGAAATTTATAAGAGGAGTAATTCAACAAATTCTCATCAAAATTTCAAAAGGGTAAGCTATTCAAATGACCACCCACCACTATATATAATTAATACAATAAATACTGACAGTATTTTTACGGTGGTCAATTTTGAATATTTTAAAGCTATCCTTTATCACAATTTCAATTTAAACAGTAGGTAGTCCAGGTGGTAAATATGGTTGCGAGAACGTTCGCATAGGCAACAGTTTACTTTTGGAGCACTAGCCATCAATTCTACTACCGGACGCCATGTTCGAGCAGTCGTCAGGGTAAGAGATGATAGATACTCTCTCTGATGGGTGAGGGAGCTTTGATATATATCAATTAAATAGAAGTGGCGAAAGGAAAGCACCCTGTGGTACCCTCTGTTTAATTTTCCGTACTGACGAGTGTCGACCACTCAGACGGCGTCAAACGCCTTTGATAGATCCAACACTACCAGGACCTGTCCTCTCAGAGGGCGGTTTCGGTTCATGCCATGAATTATCCGGGTGCTATAGACCGATAAGACTCCACTTTGTTGGCCAGCTTCCCCGATTTCATCACGTCGGAAATGTTGAGAGTGGCCGTTGACTATACTTTATTTTTGTACATTTTGATGTAACAAAATTTCAACTGTTTGTCTTCTAATTTCACTACATTTTAACCTTTTTAAAGTTTATTCTTATAAATCAGAACACAAAAAGATAACTGCAAACATTTGTAATTTAATTCCCTCATTTTAAGATCAAAGCCATACCAAAAGCAGCGGATAATGTTTCTATAGAAAATCAACAACAAATTGAATTATCAAAATATAAGAAAATACATTTACCTATAACAAATATACATACTACATAAATATTAGGAAATTATTATGAAAAAGTTTGTATTGCTAAAGCAAAATGCGAACAGGAAACGTGAAAACCTATACTTATACAAAATAGGTTTGAAATTGGAAAACATTCGTGTGTGATCAAGAAAACGCAGCTGAAGAGAGCATACCACATACATAGATACATTTAAAAATACAAAGTAGCAGAGAGCACATCTTCATTTCTAGATAATCTTAAAATTTTTCAATTTTATTGTAAAAGTTACATATTAATTACGTCTATCATAAAAAAAAA